TGCCCACCCCTGGAATGTTCTAAACAGGAGGTCTTCGACCAACCTGCCCACCCCGTTGAAGGCAAGGCCATTCAACGCATAAATCAACAAAGGAAAAGGAGAAGAGCCAGAGTAGAGTTAGAGAAGTAATACCTGAGCAAGCCACTGCACAAGTCTGTCGCCGACCTCGGGCAGCGTGAGGTTGCCCTTCTTCCGATCATCCTCGAGGAGGGCACCCTCGAGACGGTCGGCCACCTCGTTAACGGAGGCCGACATGAGAGATGTGGGTTTCGGGGCCAAAGGATCAGGAGGAAAATAACCAGCACGCCCCCGCTTGACAACGACCTCGCCCTGCTCAGTGCGAGGGCGTTTGCCCAAGGCCGACTCGTGGCCCCCGCCATCGCGATCGCTGGATTCGACCAGAGCTTTGGTCGATGCAGCAATAACGGTTTTAGAAGAGTGATGGACGAGGGGCAGTTTTTCTTGACTTTTGGTTTTGGACGAGACGTTAGGCTCGGAGGTTTTATCGGCAGCTTTGCTTTGAGAGCTGGTCTTGGAGGGGGAGGTTCGTGAACCTGTCCTCTGGGAACGGTCATCGCCTTTCTGATGGCGGTCGTCGGTTCTTTGACGATCACCAGTCTTAGCTTGATGATCGACGGTTTTCGAGGATTTTGCGGTCGATTGGGAGGAAGATTGGTGCGGCTGCTGTTGATGTTTGGGTGGCAGGGGTTGCTTCGGTTGTTGTTGTTGTTGTTGTTGTTGTTGCTTCGGTTGTTGATGTTGTTGTTGTTGTTGCTTCGGTTGTTGTTGTTGTTGTTGTTGTTGGTGTTGTTGTTGTGGTGTACCCTGGGGCGGCGGAGGAGGAAGAGGAGCCTGTTGTGAGGGAGATTGCTGTTGCGACTCTGGCCGAGGCCCGTCGGAGCTGGTCGAGCCATCGACCTTCTCGTTGGTCGAGCCGGCAGCTGCCCCCGATTTCTTTTTTAGAGGCGTCTTTATCAAGGGAATGTTGAAACTGGGAGCCTCTGCACAAACGCACCAAGCAGAACAAAGCCATCATTAGTATTTACCCCGACAAAGAAACAAATACACGGAGACACTCAAATTAACTGATCGAAAATCACCTGGGTCATTATCGAGTCAAACGAGATCGAGGATCTCTTTGGTGGGTGGAGAAAGAGTCTTATGAGTGAGGAGACCGCAAAAATGGAGAAGATTCTCATCCCTAAGAAGTTAATTAAAGTG